GATGTGGTGGTTAGAATTGTGGAAAGGAAACATGAAACTTGACGTGTCGTCACAAACAGTAAACAGAGGGCTTGATGTTTCACACGCAGGAGAGAAAGTGAGAGAAATCGACTTTTACTTAAGAGAGTGCACATGATGAAACTAGTTTATCCACTGTAAAAAGTAAACACCTCAGGAGATATCAGTGAGCTATAACATCTTTTCTAGCAGAATAGTGCCAAGTTAAATTATAAGCTAACGTCACCATTATCACCACCAACACCGTCATCATCACCTGGCTATGCCGTTTCTATGCCACAACCGGCTCCTCCTTTCAAGACCTGTATAGGAGAGGAAACACCGGTTCATCTCCTTATAGAGTTTCGCTTGGCTTAAGCAGTCAATTTCTTTCCAATTCGAGACCTGTTTTGAAATTCTTTTAGAATGTGCATAAATGTGATCAAATGCCGTTTGCTAAAAACTGTGGATACCGGCGATTGCCTAGACGTTTATTCTTGCGGTAGGAGACGGGGGTTGCTCATACCTAGGTAGTCAACATTGCTGTCCACTAATCTCTCTTTCATGTACTGTCAACCATTTCTGATTTTCAAAAGTGATCTTGTAACTAATTCTCGTCTGTTTTTTTTTTTTTTTTTTTTTTATTTCTAGACACTTTCATTTGATTTATTTGTATATATCCATGATGTTCTTATAATTGATCTATACAACCACATACCTGCATCTTCTTTCCCACTAATAATAATAATTCGATAATATGACAACTAAGCCAACATAATTTGCTGGAACATTGATGCTAATATTTCTGAAGAGGGTGAAAGACACTGCATCAGGGCCTGACGGGCTCAGATATTCCCACACGAGGGACAAGAGTTACACAGATCTGGTGGAGATGGCTGCCTGTTTTGATCAAAGTATTAGGTCAGCTTCAGTTCCACAGCTACCTGATTCCACTTCTAAGCCTGGCAAGAATCATTTAAGGGGTCACTACAGGAAAAAAAAAATGTTTTTTTTTTTTTACTAACAATGTAACACCAATTATTTTATAATGGTCATTTGTAGGGATGTATGTAGATACATTTGTAGACTTCAAGTGTAAAAAAAAAACATGGTTGCCATGGCAACAGCCGCCATTTTGATTTTAAAAAACATGTACTTAGCTAAAATTTCAAAAACAAACAGAGGTATTGAGAAACAGATGATCGATTCATGAATTTTAAACCTATGATCAGGGTCAGGTCTAGTTTATTTACTTCAAAGATGTTTCTAAATATTTTTTTTTAGAATATTCATATTTAGGTATGTTGAAAAAATACAAAAATGTCGCTTTTTAAGATAATAATCAAATTTAAAAAACATATTACTTAAAAAAACTGTAATTTTAAATAGACCTGACCTTATAATATTGTGTTAGGAGTATCCACACCAAATTTCATGTCTCTAGTCTATATATTAGCTTAGATTTTAGGAGATCCCACACACAACAAACAGAAAAATAGAATCTTTGGCAAAGTGTAGCAGAAGTTGCGGGTAAGCTATAAGAATGTTTGGGAAGAGAGAAAGCTCCTTTAAGGAGGTTTTGGAAGTTACCGGCCAGGAAAGGATACATGGTCAAATGCAGCGACTTTTGCCTTTGACGCCTTCGAAGGCTTCCAGAACGAACAGGAAACTGGTAGCAGCACTTGATTTAGAAGATGCTTACAACAGAGTCAGATAGAGGTATTTTGATACAGCGCATAAGGAGAAGGGAGTCTGTCCTTGGTTGGTGAACTGGCTATCAGTTGCTTTGTATTCTCGTCAGTTAGCTCCCCCCCCCCCCCCCTCTCTCTTGTTTGTTGTAAGTATATCGGGCGGTTATGAAAAGTTACCAGATCATAGAAGAAGGTTGCCTTTTTAGATTCCATGCTGTGATTCATAGATGGTAATTTTTTTCTTAGCCCCAGTAAAATCAGTCTCAGTACTTAATTGTTAGATCTTGTATGACACCACATCTAGCATGAGTATGAAGGTGTAGGCCGTACTCTGCAACTTGTCTGTGGCTAGAGAACAAGATACCTACGCATGTCGTAGTTGCAACGGACTCTAAAAGCATGCCGAAAAAAGTGAAGACATGATTGCTTCGAGCAGATTGCCAAGCTTTATCTGCGAGGTCACTGGTAGTGATAATACTTTGGATCGTTTTTCCAGGCTATACCAGCGTGGTAGGAATAAACAGGCAAACAGATTGGCTGGATCTGCACCGCTGGGTAATCAGCTAATACATGACAAGGCAGATGTGCTCAGAGCAAGTAACGAAGTCAGATGAAAAACAATATTTTTGGGGGCTGAGGACAATGATGCACTTGGGTGTGACTAGAGGGTTCAGCGGCACACTACGCGCAGAGAAAAGGCAAGACGGACACGCAACAAGAATACGACTGGCACCATTCGTATTGCAACTCTGCGCTGACTGCTAAGGATAGGGATGGAGCACGTATAAGAATGTCCCGAGTGCTGTGATCTCAATTTTTGACTCAACTCAACGCATCCTAAATGGAATTCTAATGCACTACCAAGAAGAAGAAGAAGAAGAAGAAGAAGAAGAAGAGGAAGAGGAAGAGGAAGAGGAAGAGGAAGAGGAAGAGGAAGAAGAAGAAGAAGAAGAAGAAGAAGAAGAAGAAGAAGAAGAAGAAGAAGAAGAAGAAGAAGAAGAAGAAGAAGAAGAAGAAGAAGAAGAAGAAGAAGAAGAAGAAGAAGAAGAAGAAGAAGAAGAAGAAGAAGAAGAAGAAGAAGAAGAAGAAGAAGAAGAAGAAGAAGAAGAAGAAGAAGAAGAAGAAGAAGAAGAAGAAGAAGAAGAAGAAGAAGAAGAAGAAGAAGAAGAAGAAGAAGAAGAAGAAGAAGAAGAAGAAGAAGAAGAAGAAGAAGAAGAAGAAGAAGAAGAAGAAGAAGAAGAAGAAGAAGAAGAAGAAGAAGAAGAAGAAGAAGAAGAAGAAGAAGAAGAAGAAGAAGAAGAAGAAGAAGAAGAAGAAAGAAGAAGAAGAAGAAGAAGAAGAAGAAGAAGAAGAAGAAGAAGAAGAAGAAGAAGAAGAAGAAGAAGAAGAAGAAGAAGAAGAAGAAGAAGAAAGAAGAAGAAGAAGAAGAAGAAGAAGAAGAAGAAGAAGAAGAAGAAGAAGAAGAAGAAGAAGAAGAAGAAGAAGAAGAAGAAGAAGAAGAAGAAGAAGAAGAAGAAGAAGAAGAAGAAGAAGAAGAAGAAGAAGAAGAAGAAGAAGAAGAAGAAGAAGAAGAAGAAGAAGAAGAAGAAGAAGAAGAAGAAGAAGAAGAAGAAGAAGAAGAAGAAGAAGAAGAAGAAATGAAGAAGAAGAAGAAGAAGAAGAAGAAGAAGAAGAAGAAGAAGAAGAAGAAGAAGAAGAAGAAGAAGAAGAAGAAGAAGAAGAAGAAGAAGAAGAAGAAGAAGAAGAAGAAGAAGAAGAAGAAGAAGAAGAAGAAGAAGAAGAAGAAGAAGAAGAAGAAGAAGAAGAAGAAGAAGAAGAAGAAGAAGAAGAAGAAAGAAGAAGAAGAAGAAGAAGAAGAAGAAGAAGAAGAAGAAGAAGAAGAAGAAGAAGAAGAAGAAGAAGAAGAAGAAGAAGAAGAAGAAGAAGAAGAAGAAGAAGAAGAAGAAGAAGAAGAAGAAGAAGAAGAAGAACGAATAGTAAGGATCAAAAGACGTCAATTTCAGATTTAAGAGCCGTCATCAAAGTATTCAGAAGCACATAATATGTATTCTAAAAGAGAATACTATTTCAGCAAATAATCTGGAATCTCAGTAACTACTCTACACATTCTCAACAATCACTCGATTTTCTGAACGGCTAATCTACATTCCCAGTCTGGCTTATTTACGTATTGGGGAAAAAGGGGGGGGGGGGGGGTGGTAGTGGCAGGGGAAGTGGGGGGGGGGGGGATTATGAGTCGAATAAACCGTGACGAATACAAACTGAGAACTTTTACATAACCTAGGTTTTCTACTGCCCGCTAGTCATGTTGTACTACATCAAATGCATACCATCTCAGATAAGGGCGGAAAAATTATCAGTGTTAGCTAAGACGTGTGAACAAAACAAAAAGTTGTAGAAAATTGCCGCACCCAGTGTAACTTTTCAAATACAGAAAACTAATAGAGGGAAAGTGTAGTGCATCGGTGGTTTTGATTTAGAAACATAATCTACGCCGTTAAAACGTAGTGTTTTATTTTTGAATAGTTTTAAGTAACATTTATTATGCTGAGGTCCCAGTCTTTTCCACAGTGCATCTCTGGTACCACCACTGTCTGTAAACAATGAGAAGGATATTTTTCTAACAGACGCAGTCGGAAACACATCGAAGCTGCTTGGTGACACGATTTCACATACATCTGAGCCACAGAGCACCGCTTCAAACAATACAACAATTATGTAATTGTTTGAAACACGAGCAAGAAGATAAACAAAGCTGAATGACAGTGAAAGTGAAGAGATCCACTTAACCATGAGCAACGGTTCTAAATCACAGACTGCGTCCCGCGCTGAGACACTCCACATGCACACAGGCAGGTGTATATGGGCCACGGACTAGCAGATTAACCCCATTGTCTCCTGCAGCTATAAACAACCGCAGTGCATTTCATGGAATGAAAGATACACAAATGTCACCGACATCATGCAGTGGCATCTCCGTGGTGAAAGTTGGCGCTAATGGATCTCTCGGTGGTTCTGTCAAGCCTGCGATGTACTTTCTGTAGCAAAGTTTCTATTCATTTCTTCAGGGTTTAAGGAGAATCATGAAAATGAGAGTAGATACATTCTCGATACATCTCTTATATGTTGTTGTCGGTCGTAGAAATCAGTTTCTTCTTAATATACGCAAGCGGGCCAACATAGCAGGAAGCCGTGTTGAAGGAGGACAAGAATCACAATAGTACCCAGCGGAGCCGAGCGCTTGCTATATCAACGCTTATTTCCGATATTTTTTGTACACGGATCGAAATTAAATATTTTTTATACTGGAAAATGCTAACTGTAAAGTTTATAGTCGATTATTTGTTTTCTGCCAGAACTAAAACACAAAGTGCTTCCAGTGAGACACGCCGTGACTATGTTGAAGTTTTTACAATCATATCTGTGAATATAACATCAAATGTCTGGGCTAAAAGAAAGTTTTCAAAAGGTTTCTCCTCGTGTCCCACACTGATTCAAGTCATTGCTAAGCTCTGAATTCAACGGGCACCAAGAACATACATGTATAAAATTACGCTACCCCAGCACCACTATATATATATATGTATATATATATATATATATATATATATATATATATATATATATATATATATATATATATATATATATATATATATATATATATATATATATACACATACACACACACACACACACACACATATATATATATATATATATATATATATATATATATATATATATATATATATATATATATATATATATATATATGTATATGTATATATATGTATGTGTGTGTGTATATATATAGTGGTGCTGGGTTAGCGTAATTTTTAGTAGCACGCGTACCTGCATAAACCTGATTTTAGGTTCTAATCCCAAACAGTGCGGAGACACAAATAGATCATTACAGTCTGAGGAGAGTGGAGCCGCGAGGAATTACTAGGTGATCTAGCCGACGTTCAACATTCAAGGGAAGGGCGAGATGGATATACAATCAGACATTTACTGGTACCATTGGACTTGGAACTCTTCGTTTGCTGCTGAAGATGCGGGGCGCTTATGTGGGTGTCCTGAGTGCTTTGATGTAGATTCCTTATTCAATATTTAACATTCGATATTTTCAAATCCTAACGATCGGAAATATTGTGTTTTGTTCCAAAGAGTCTCCTGCCACAATAGTCTAAAAGGAAGCCCTGAAATGAAGACGACCGGCGATATAGTGACATAGGTTTGGGTTTAAACAACGGACCAGCATCACGGCACAAGAGTACCATACTTCTAACTCAAGCCTAAGTACGAAAAATCTCAGCGCAGTGCACGAAGTACGCAGTACCGATCCTGAAATACTTTGGATAGAGCCATAACTTCAAATTTTGCATGGGCACAGCCGTTAGGCTACTCTTTTCAATTTCCAACTGGCAAGGCTTCTTTTTTATGTGCACAGCAATAGACACGAGCATCTGAGCTTACTACCCAGAGAGAAGGCAAAAGTACGCGTGAAAAAAAAATCTCAGCCTTCATCGGGCCTGAACCCGCGACCCCCATGCCTCGAGACCACCCAGGCCAGATATAGTGACGACATCCATCGTATGGCGATTATACTAAGAGCAGCCTCAAAGATTTAGACACTGTCGCTTTATTACGAGTACTTGTACTTCGGAATACGTCAGAAATGTGTACGAATCTCTCTCTCTTTCTTTATCTCTCTCTTTCTCTTTCTCTCTCTCTCTATCTATCTATCTTTCTTTCACTCTCTCTCTCTCTCTCTCTCTCTCTCTCTCTCTCTCTCTCTCTCTCTCTCTCTCTCTCTCTCTCTCAGTATTTTAAGATAAAATCAGAATGGCAGGCTCTAGTTGTACAATATGCTGGGCTGCTGTTTAAATAAAGATGATGCTGGATGTTAAAACAAAAATAAAGACAAGAAAGCCAAAGTGATTATGGCAATGAACGAGGGTTTGTCAATAAATAAGCTACAAATGGTTGTTTGAAAATAAAAATAAAACTTAAAGACAATAACAACTTGAAATCCTTTCATTTTTAGACACACAATGTCCTTTAATTTTTTTCAACATAATTTCCACCAACACTGATGCACCAGTCCTAGCGTTTTTTTCAGTCCTCCCAAACCTCCTGCAAAGAAGCGCGTGCTCGGTTTTCTAAACCATATTTTCACTTCACGTTCAACTTCTGCTTCATTCGCGAAAGGTCTTCCGCCGAGATGGGTTTTCAGTGGACCAAAAAAGGTGTAAATTGCAATAGGCTAAGTCGGGGCTGTCAGGTCGATGTTTAAGAAGTTCCCACCCTAGATGGTTAATTGTCTTCTGAATTAACTGAGCCGTATGTGATCTGGCATTGTCAGGAAGGAGAAGTAATTCTCTGGCCAGCAGGCCTGGACCTTTTTTTTATTTTAATTGCATTTTGAAGCAGAACTCCACAGTATGAATCAGCGTAAAAGGAAGCATTTCTTTGTGAATGTCCTTTGCAGGTAGCCCATGTGCCTAAAAAAAAAAAAACCGCACAACAGCACATTGTTCTTTAAGGTTACACTTCGTAAGTAGAGTCTCCATTTTGTTTCTGTACTGTGAATGCGCGTGTAGCATGTAGCGCCACTTAACGAGAGGAAACAAAGTTCTATATTGTTGTCACCTAATGACAACTTTAGAAATCACGAACTGCATTTTCCTACCATCTCATAATATCTGTCACTCAGATTTTGACTTCCCCTCGTACATGGTATTTCACATTGTAATTGCGATAGATAGTTGTCAGGCTAAACTTTCAGCTAACCATGGTAACTACCAACAATACCATTGTGCAGACAGTTTAAAATGCTGACATTCTTGAATAACACGTGAATTTAGTTAGCCATATTTGTAACACATGACGGCGATTGTCAGCAAGTTTCTTCAGAATGTATAAAGATGGTGACCCTACCAAACTCTAAAAAGCCTATTTGTCATCTACCCTGAAAAGTTGGATATTAACGAATGCTAGCTGACGCGGTGCGGTCCGACAAAGTGGTTCTACTTTATGGGTGCAAATGGATTTTCTCTTGACAGAAATCGAGAAGAGATAGCTTTTTAAAAATGTGTTTCCCACATGCTCAAAGCTATCAAATCCGGATAACCCTTGGACATTTTCTAGGCTGGTGGCTGTTGAGAGTTTGTGTCGTGTTTAATTATTGTCGGGCTAAAGGAGCATAACAATTTAGATCACAGACAACTATAAAAATGCACTTGTGTACGACAAGAACAGACAATGAGACGCCGACACCAGATAGGCTTTGGTTGAGAATGATGACAGATAGATCAACATTTGTGTTCGACAAAAACAGATAATGACACCCCTACAATAGACAGACTTTGACTGAAAATAATGACAGACATGTCTACAATAGATAGGCTTTGACTGAAAATAATGACAGATATGTCTACAATAGACAGGCTTTGACTGAAAATAATGACAGCTATGTCTACAATAGACAGACTTTGACTAAATATAATGACAAATATTTCTACAATAGACAGACTTTGACTGAAAATAATGATAGATATGTCTACAATAGACAGACTTTGACTGAAAATAATGACAGATATGTCTACAATAGACAGACTTTGACTGAAATTAATGACAGATATGTCTACAATAGACAGACTTTGACTGAAAATAATGACAGATATGTCTACAATAGACAGACTTTGACTGAAAATAATGACAGATATGTCTACAATAGACAGACTTTGACTGAAAATAATGACAGATATGTCTACAATAGACAGACTTTGACTGAAAATTCTTCTTCTTCTTCTTCTTCTTGTTCACCGGCTGTGAATTCCGGCGGTAAGTCACGGTTGTTCGTCCAAAATGGACTTTTGGCTTTTACCTTGACCTGAGTTTTGCGTGTACATCCGTTTTACTGGCTTATTTGTTTGCAGTACTCGTTCCCCGCCTCTCCGGCAGATGTACTCCGACTTCGGAGGAAAGATGACTGAAAATAATGACAGATATGTCTACAATAGACAGACTTTGACTGAAGATAATGACAGATATGTCTACAATAGACAGACTTTGACTGAAAATGGTGAGAAATATACCAGTAACTTACACTTGGTTCAGTGATTAGTGGGGACTTTTATTAAAGCGCTTCAGATAGATCTTCAGTCTCCAATCTGCTTCCCAATAGCCCTACACATATAAATGCATGTTTCCTCCCTCTGTCTACAAGCCTAGACAAGGACATTAGTCCTACTTATCGCCCATGTACGCCTAAAGGCCTGTATAAATCCTGAGTCCACAGCAATTGCATGAGAAACAACTCAGCATGTGGTTAACGTGAACATATATCCACAGACTAACATCTCGACAAGAATATCAAACAACAAAAGCATTTAGGCAGAAATATGCCACTCGTTGCAACATCTTCTGAATGTTGAATCTTGAATAACAATCAACATCATAGCATTCGGATTCGGGACCCCCCCCCCCCCCCCCTCCTGAACGATTCGTCCCCATCTTCAGCAGCAAACAGAGAGTTCCAATTCCAATGCAACTAGTAACTGAATAATTGTAAATCTGTCTCACCAAACTCAGTCTGATCAGTAAGCAACAATTTTGTGTTGTTGATAAACAGGTGATCGTGCTTTCAATACACCAGTCTGGGCAGGCGAAAAGAAATGGTATATTGCAAATACAAATTCAAGAATCGCTATAAAATATTTGAAATATGTGTTCACGAATGGCATTTTTTTAAACTACAATTATTGCTGTCGAACAATAAACGACTCAGTTTGGAGAAATTCAGACATCACGTGCAGACCTCGCTATTTTTAAACGATTTATATTTTAATTTCCGATCTCCTTTTTCAATCTACAGAATGACAAGCCTCCCCTGGCAATATTGTCAACAATAGATGAACATTTCACGGATGCAATCGCCAGTAAATGATTTCATTTACAGCCTAAAAAGGCAGAGACCATAACAAAGCGAATATCAAAAATATTATCAATAACATGAGTCCGGCCGATAGTTGGGACGTGATCAAATCCGCCAGACTGGAGACGCTGCCGGCTACTGACAGGGGCTGACAGATGGCGCTGGGTAACAATCATGACCAGTCAACATATTTTCTCACTGCAAATAGCTGCTCATATCTCCTTCTGTGTGGCTGGACTTGGTCTTGTTGAAGTGATGTGGTATACAGCTTGCTGAATTTACAAAAATAGGTGAGTCCAGTAGAGATGGTACAAAGAGCACTTAACCCAACACTAACTTCGTTTCCGGTTCTTCTTTGTACTCAGCGTTTCGCAATAACACTACACATCCACATTTTTCTTCTTTGTACTCAGCGTTTCGCAATAACACTACACATCCACATTTTTCTTCTGGCATTCATTCACTCTGTGATTGTTAAGGTATGTGCTTGTTTGTTCGTTATTTCATTGACAAAATATTGATCAAAGAGTCTGGCTTAGGATCTCAATTCCTTCTTTTTTGTTGAACTTCCTAGTCAAAGCTGCTCCGTGTTAAATCATTTAATCACAGTTGCAACTTCACGGCTAGCGGAACTGCATCGTGTTACATTCAACCATATCTAAAAACCATGCTGCCTTCTAATGATATGAAAGTAAAGTCGTAGATACTTTCAGTGGGATTTTAAATGTAAGGCTGCACACATTACAGGCTCTATTGCTCAGAGTAGTCTAGCCAGCTCGAGCGCATTGATTCCCAGAAAAATCTCCAAAACAATCTGATAATAGTGTGGTTTCCATCTGTGGGACGTTGGGTCGACCTTCACACACAGTGGACCTCGGCAAACGAAGTGCAATGGTTAAGTGGCTCAAACTAATCCAATAAATGTCAAGACCTCATCACTGTCGATCCCGTAGCCATATAATAGTGTCGCCTGTACTAAAGATAAAGAATACATCTAAAACCGCGGTGATGGCAGACTCGCCTACTAATCGCTGTGTCATCGAGATTAGGAATCTATTAAACATCACACATGTCACATGTATTACGCGCACATGTGTGTATGGGTGTGTTGTGCTTGGTGTGTGTGCGCGCATCTTGTGCCGTACGTGTATCTTCTTCCTCGTTTGTCGTAAACTGTAAATGCATTGTACTATGTTTACAACATAGGTGCGATATTTTCGCATTGCGGCCGACGCATCCGACTGTTGCAGACATCTGTGGCACGGATTAACCTTTCCGGTTAGTTCGTGTGTGTGTGTGTGTGTGTGTGTGTGTGTGTGTGTGTGTGTGTGTGTGTGTGTGTGTGTGTGTGTGTGTGACAGGGGTGCGTTGTCGGGTGTTGTATGTGCATGTAAGTCATGGATGTGCTATAGCTGAGTTGTCTTGTATCGTGTAGATCGTGAATGTGCTGTGTGTGTGTGTGTATGTGTATGTGCATGTGAGTATGCTGTGTGTATGCGGGATGTGTATATGTATTTCACGGAGATCATCATCATCGTTAATTTCCCCTTCTGCCGTTAAACGTTGTGGAGAGGAACAGTTGGCAATCCATTGCTTGGTGGGCAGCATTGCGTATTGTCATTCCGTAGCGATGTAGAAGCTCTGTAATGAATCCATTTTCTCCTAGGGCTGCCTTTTGCTTTCACTTCACATCTTTTCACGTGTATTTGTCACGGTCACGGAGGTACCATTTCTATATTAAAGGTTAACTCTTATGTCTCTACAACTCTCTGTCATACGACTGCATGAGGCACTTATACAGACATCTTCATCTGATCTTTTCTAAAGCTGTTATTTTTGTCATGCATTTGTAACGTTTTTTCCCCACCTGTGAGTATCTCCTGAACTTGCCCATTCTGTTGTGGTACAATATGATGTTTCTCTCTTGATATTGCTTGCTGTGATCTTTGCCGCTATTTGTGGTTTCCGTATTTTAATGTCTGAACCAGTTTTAAAGATTCTTGTTTATTTTTGCGATTCAGTGTCAGATCTTAGTCAGATATGACTGAGCTACAGTATAACTGTAGCCGGTATCACACGTCTTCTGGTATGCCGAATGTTTTGGGCGGCGTATACCAAACTTAAAATCCCATACTGTACCAACGGCGAAAGAGCACACTGGGGAGGAAACGAGCCTAATCCTAGAATAAAGTAAATGCAACCTGAAAACGTTATGTTATGGCCCTTAGCCTTGGCTGGCAGCTTGTCTAGGGTAAAGGCTCCGACAGGCGGACAGATAGAGCACTGCTCTTCAGATGCTCTTCAAATCCGCAATTTATGCAGCCTGCTTTGTTCCAAACGTACTGGTGTTATCTTTCCTTTGGAGTAAACAAGGCAGGTCGAGGTAGGGATCATGATGCATGGGCAACATATGGCGTCAAAAATACAACCCAGGCATTGTGCTATAGAGAGGAAGACTTTTCTTAACGCGAACGGGTCTTGCTAGTCACACTCGCTGTCGTGAAGTGATTCAACTCACCCCTGCACATTCGACTATTCATGATGTTGGCGCCCCTAGCGGGCATGTCACATTTCAAATATAGACCTTCCGGTGGGTATATAGTCTTTTATATCTATTTATACCTTTTTCTGGCGTAATAGGTATTTCTTTACACTCTAGTTGTCTTGAAAAGTCTACATTTTCAAACCTACAGTTGTGGGATAGATATTTTCTGGAATAATATTCAGAATTCCGAGAAGCCTTTTTACTCCTCGGCGCATTAATCTCGAGGGCTACTTTCTTTAAAAGGACGCCTAGCCTACCGCGTCATTCTCTGTCTGAATGCCAAGAAGATCTGATGTTCTTGAATGCGCCTCAAATATCTATGCTTTCAGGAGGCGGCCTTTTGTGTCTAGGACATTTCATAAAGTTTGGGTAAGTTGATTATAGTTTGCGAGTACCATGATATATGTCTCTATGAAGTTAACCGCTGCTGCAGGGAGGAAAGATTCAGCTATGGGACAGCGCAGAACAAGACCGTTCTTGGTGTCCAAGTACTCACAGCCACTTAAACCAAATCTTTCCCTTCACAAGCTGATAGTTTGTGTCCTACCTGACCCAATATTACTGTAAATATTTTAATCTAGCAGGCTAATTATTTTCTAACTAACTGGCAGAGATTCAGGTCGATATAGCCGGCAGATTTAATTAGGTCAAACTACAGCGAGCGAGACGCTGTGACGTCAGAGGTTATTTTTAGCAGACACAACAACACAGTGTCAGCTACGGTCAGACTGTGGAGATGTAATATATATGTAAGAATGAGATGGAATGTGTGTCTGCAAGTGCAGATGGGAATGTGGAGAGAGGATGTCCTATGTGTATTAGTGTCTATCTATCTCCACTATGAAACTTGTCTCCTATCTCTTGTACTGACTGACAGACAGAGATAAATGAAGATTTAACTGTCTCATTCTCCTAAGAGTTATCCTCTGAGTGACTGAGAAAGGTGGAGGGAAACAAATTGAGCTTGATGTGTGTTTCCTAATATGAATACTAATTCCAAGTTCCTTCCTGACACAGGATGATACCTCCCTGGAAGTCAGGCAGACGATCAACAGTCCAACCAACCACCATCCACCAATTAGTTCCTAATACCACCACAACTTCTCCAGTGGCTAAAAGACAGTTGTTGCAGGCCACACATTTGTTATCCATCAAGTGGAACCTTCCTCAGGAGCTTTGTCGAGCTCCAGTGCATGAACTCTGTCGGTGTTTGCCAGGGTAACCAGGAAGAGGAGCAGTCCGTTCAGATCACCATGGACTGAGGAGAGCAGTGACATTCATCAAACTTGATAAGTACAACAGTGATCATATACATCGTGCTCCTTTTATAGGTCCACCTGGAGCCATGATGATGATCACCGATACTCTCAACGACTGACTCTGGCTGATTCAGCAGTACTTTTCAGACTTTGTTT